AGATGATTAACGAGACGAAGGCAGATGTATCAAGAACATTATGCAATGACAATATCTTATTATAAAAGATATATTCATATGATAGACTGTATGATATAATATTTTTCAATGACAGACATATGTTAATATAAATAGAATATTTAAAGAAATGTCTCGCGAAAATGAATAGGAATTTTCGTATTGAAAACATGATATCGTTCAAAGTTTAATAAGATCGAACAAAAAATGTAACGGATATTATATATGGAAAGTCGCTATTTGAGGGTGAAGATGAAAGCATAGGCGTAGAGATGGGAAAACATGGCACACCCTCATTCTTTTGACAGGTTCTAATTGAATAAGTCAGTTATGGACTTCAATGAACAATACCGGGGAAATTATTTGGATCAATACGATCATGTGCACCTATTGAAATATATGTTGATGGAGCAACGTTTTGAAAATTTATGAGGTCTTGCTCGAATCACATCTACCAGCAGATCCACAAAAAATTGCATCGTTTGAATTGTTATTTGCTATAGAGATTCTTGTGACGTAAACGAAGGTAGAAACGAATGAACATACACATTTTTAATGATCATTTAACAGTGCGTCATTGGATAAAAAGATATCACTCAACGAAAAATATATGATATATTAAGATTGAGCATTGTCTCTTTAGTTAGACTTGTTACGCCAAAATAGGGATAAAATATTCTTTAATTAAAAATGATATTTTTTATAATGGATCGACTCTATCATCCTGAAAAAACTCGTCCTTTTTCATTGGCAATGAAGGAAAGGATAAATCCTTATTGAATATCTCTTATGGATCGACATGGTAAAATCTACATCTTTACCCTATCTTATTTTTGTTAAATTAGTTTCGATAGATTTCTTGAGTGTTTCTAAGATAAACACTTGTTGATAAACAATACCAAGAGATGTAACCATTCCTAACGATACTATGTGAATACAGATGTGCTGTTTGATTCATTTGTAAATAAAAGAATATGTTGGAATAAATCGAGATCAAAATAAATTTTTATTAGTTACTCGATTTTCCCAGATGTGATAGTTTACGAAGATTGATTCTCAACTGCATAGTCACATAGAGAACAGATATTTTTTATGAGATTACTCATGAGAATCACAAACACTCATCCTATTATTTGTCTAATGATTTATTCCACAAAGAATAAAACTGAAAGAAATGTTATAAATAAGAGAGTCTCAAGAAAATAATGTATTTGAGTATATGGTCAGCGGAGAATATTTTTCTCAAAGAGATTAAACGCTTGTTTATTATTGTCTTTTCATAAAAATGCTGAGAAAAGAATAATTTCTATTTTCTTCTTTGAATGACAAATCCGTGTAAAGAAGTATTGCTTCATTTCGCACCATTGTTAAATAGTTCGAATCAAATTTAAGCTGGACAATTACGTAAGTTATCTTATCATCTGATTCGAATTTTTTTTCAAGATTCATCCGTTCTGAATATGTGTTCCAGTTCTGATCCCACTGGTTCTAAGTTCAACTCAATGTGCCCTATCGATTTCAATGATAGAATTGTTGAGAACAGCTCTAATTTCTCTTCATAAATCCCTAAAATTGTAAGAAAACATGAAACTTTTGGAAAACCCCAAGCAGATTTGCTACTGTACTATTTAGCTTGATCAAAAAGCCGCTCCAGGTAGAGTTTGACGAGCTCTATAGATTTCAATTATAAAATTTTTCACTCCAATCCACACTCTTGAAAGTTATCGCATATCATCATGATTTACTATTCATATTACCTATGAGGTTTTATTCTGTAGCACTATAAAGAAAAGTCAAATAACAGAAAAATAACGAGAGAAAAAAAATCAATTTTTCATGAACAGTTTTCATTTCTTGTCGGTGATGCAGCGTATGGTACAACTGCCAATGGTTTCGNTCGACTACTACTGGTTGTACACCATAACGATGAAGAAAGTAAGCTAATACAGGTCCAGCTACACCAGCACCCACAATCAGAGCTGTACGTTTTTTCGACGTATTTTTCGAAAGAACTGAAGACGTACGTGACAATACTAAATTCATTTTATTCTATAATTACGAGTATACAAGTTAATCTATCAAATCAAATCAGTGATTAAGTTACTATCGTTTAGAGGAAAAAACTATGGAATAGAAAATAAGTTCAATGTACTTACGCATCAAATAATGTAAAAGTCTATACCTAATGAGTGAGAAAGACAAGCAAAACCGCTGTTGGATCATGACAGAATCAATCAAAATATTTGGAGAAAGGAGAAAATTACTTGAAGTACGAAATTTCCCATCATTGATTTTCTTGCTGAGAATTTCTTCTATTCATTATGATTGAGACTATCCTAGGCTATAGGTGTCACAGCTATACAAAAAGAAAAAGAAAGAATATTTACTAAACAGTCATTTTTCTATTCATTGTTGCATAGGGATTTGAAAGTGATGGCATAGTCACGATAGGCACCGGCTACTCATCGGAAATTGTTCAAAGGTCGAATTTGAATCATTATGTATATAAAATAAGATATTCAGTTGCACTGAAAATAAAAATTTAGTTCGAATCGCAAGAAACACACAGACATTAGATTCTATTGCATGATGATTTTTTAGTGTAAGTAAATACAAAATGAAAAGATTGTTTTTCTTTGAACTAAAAAAACAATAAAATCACGTTTAGGATTGTTGACAACTAGTTCTTATAGATTAGAATATGAGTATTAGTTCAAGAGAATTGTCATCATCGATCAAAAACTAAGAAAATATTTGAATAATAATGCAGAATGTGATGAAATAAAAATGAACATAAGTGTTTAGTTCTTATTTCATGAAGGATATCTCATTTCTACCGAACAGAAGTCAACATGTCTTACAAGCGTCTCTTGGATTTTATCAAGAAATTAAATGTTTATGATGAAGACGAAACTTTGTCTCACTTTGATCAAATCCTTTCAACAAGGATTTTTCTTTCTTTAATGATAATCATTTTCACAATCATTATCATTTCTACCAGTTTAAGTTTCCAACCATATCATAAAACTGTTCTATTTCCATCTGAAAATACATTCAAAAATCTGTCTATTCGTTATCCAACTACACGTTCCTGTTTATGTCGACAAAGTTCAATTCGTCAAGATAAATTTACTTCATTTAATCCACGATTTCATCCAATATGTACAAGTCAATTCATCGATCCAACATTTCTTCAATCATTATTTGACAAGAATGTTAGTGATTATTGGCCATTTGATTATCGTAAGATGGTAGCTGCTCATTTTCAATTAATTACTTTATACTGTCGACATATGAAACAAAAAACTTTCGATGTTATCAAAGAATTTTCATCAAAATATCTCATCACTGCTGAAGCTTTAACAAATGATGTATTTAATACACAAGCCAAAGAACTGATTGATCATTTTATATCGGTGACTGTTGCTAAAAATATGTACATCAATGAATTTATCGAATTTAGTATTTCCAAAAACAGTATTCACACAGGTCTTCGTTCGAATTATCTTATGAAAATCTTTCCATCAAGGGTCAGTTCTGGACCAGTAACTTATCAGACAACTGATGATATGTGTAAATGTTCAGCTGATGATGTTTGTTCAAGTCCAGCTGGCATTTATAATATAACCGAACGAACAAAAATTATGAACGGGAATATATTTCATATAAATCAGTCTGATACACCGTTGATATTTCAATTACCTAATATTAAAGTTGGTTCTTATCCATATAGTTCATTACATTCATCGACACTCGAATGTTTTTATAATCAATCATGTATTGATCTTCTTCGTTCTTATATTCCTGGATTTTCATTTGTTTCTCCATTGATATCATCAGATTTTCCTCCAGAAACATTTGTCAAATCTTTAATCAATAAACTATTCGTTGAATCGTGGAATGAAGTGATTAATTTTAGTAGTTATTATCAAATTTGTTCTCCACATTCCTGTGTTTATTCATACAATCGACGATTTAATTTCTTATATACTCTCACTGTTGTTCTTGGTCTTTTTGGCGGTCTGAAGATGATTTTACTGATATCTATTCCATATTTCATTCAATCGATACGACGAATCAAAATAATGATATATCAACGATGGAAACGAAGGAAGACCACGACAGTTATTCAATCGAACGAAGTTCAAAGTAATTTATTTTTCCTACTTCTTTTTTTCAGACACGATCTTCTCCATTCTGTAATACACATTATCCCATAGCTTATAGAAGATTTCATTTTGAGAGTGTGAATGTCAGTGATGGTATCTCAAACTTATATGCACTTTTCAGACACGATCTTCTCCATTCTGTAATACACACTCTCANATATTAATTGACATAGCATATTGATTTGACCATTTTTTAAGATTTGAATAAGTTAAATATGATTGCCATGAATTAAGTGCAGCTGTATAAGACCATATTGATAATATTGTCAAATTAGAATTTGATATAACATAAACTGTCGGAGTTGCACGAACTCGAAATAAAGGACCATTAATAACGAATCCAACAACAATTGTATATAATACATGTGTATCAGCTGCTATGGGTAAGAATGTTGTGTTCGTAGGCCATACAAGACTACTATTTTTTATTTCTATCATTTTGCCAGAAAATGGTTGATAAATAAAAATAAAATCTTTTGCTAAACCTATTGCATATTGACCATAAGGTTCAACACTAAAGACAAAAAATTCTTGATGATCATACGCTGAAATAAATTGAAATGATTCATATTGAAAATGATTGCAATTTAATGATGTTTTTGTATTCTGGTCGGTTTTGGGATCTTTATGAGATAATATACCAATAAAGAAACTAGTATTGTGAGATAAACTATTCAATAATTGTTTATTTGATATGATTTCACCAGCGAAAAAGAAATATGATTGTGTTAAATTTTGTTTTTTACCAACACCCACTGAATGTACATATTGTGTTAATTCATTGTATTCAATTGAACATTGAAGAGATTCAGATGTTGAATTATATGGAGAAAATCGTATAGAGAAGATTTGAAGATCACCCAATACTTCAATTAACATAATCTCATTACCAGTTATTTTTAGACCATAAGCATCAAAATCAGATGTTATTGGTAAAAACTGTGTAAAACTTAAATCAATTCTTGATATGATAATCATAATTAATAAGAAATACATCTAAAAAAAAGACAAAGATTTCTTTATATTGACTTCTCAGATGACAATCGATATTGTATTTGAAACTAATTATTCATATGATATCAATAAATAAATCTATCTCACAATCACTATCCGCATACAAATAAATAAGAGAGAAAAGAAACATATAGTTACTTTACTTACCGTATTCATACGATCAATAATATCAATCGTCTAATACATACATTTATATATATTCAAAAGAGAATAAATGACGTTCAACCATAGAGTATATGTATATGAAAGAGAAAAGGTCACGGACGGTGAGAATAATAAGAAAAAATATATATCGACTAGATCGATAGACAATGTTTCATACGAGCTTTTTAAGGTCAAATAAACTACACAAAATAAAACAGAATCAACCAATGTAATAATTCTTGTTGCTATATGAAAGTATTAGTTCCATTTTTAAATTCAACTTTTATTTATCGATCGATTTCATTACTCTGTGAGTTGAAATGAAAATGTTGAAAGAAAAAATAAACTTTTTTTAAAAAGATTATTGTCATTAAACAATATTGATATTCTTTCTTCTTATTCATCGGAATAAATCATGTTAAAAACGAATATTTACCTTTGATATTAAGATATTTATGTATTCTCTGATGAATAAATGTTCATTTTTGTTAAAGAATTTTCTTTTCGTTCTATTTCATAGAGATTCTTAATCAATTTGTTTTTATTGTCATAATATTCGATCTTCTTCCAAAATTTTCATTCTACGAACATTTTTAGTTGAATTTGTTCCATTGAAAATATGATGAAAAAAAACCACTTTTATTTGTGTTCTCTTTACTTTTTAGAAATTCAACATATTTATTGATACTCAAATGTTTACTAATTCGATTGTTTGTATATTTTTATCATTATAACATTTTTTTTGTACTCAGTAAGAATGATTGAGATCGACTGTGTATTTCTTTTATTAATTTATGATGATCAAAAATTAAATTGACGGAATAATGTCTATACGATATGATATGAAACACTAATTGGATTGAATTTCAATCGGATCTCATATAATATAGAATGAAAGAAACTTTGATAGAATAAGGTGAAAGATATGATGAATGAGACGAAGGTTAATGTATCAAGAACATTATACAAGGACAATATTTTATTATAAAAGATATATTTATATGATAGACTGTATGAGATAATATTTTTCAATAACAGACATCTGTTAATATAAATAGAATATTTAAAGAAATGTCTAATATGAATTTTCATATTGAAAACATTTAGATTAGTCGATATATGATATCGTTCAAAGTTTAATAATATCGAACAAAAAATGTGACGGATATTAAATACGAAAAATCTCTATTTGAGGGTGAGGATGAAAGTATAGGCGTAGAGATGGGAAAACATGGTACACCCTCATTCTTTTGACAGGTTCTAATTGAATAAGTCAGTTATGGACTTTAATGAACAATATCGGGGAAATTATTTTGGATCAATATGAGCATGTGCACCTATTGAAATATATGTTAATGGAACAACATCTTGAAAATTTATGAGATCTTGCTCGAATCGCATCTACCAGTAGATCCACTAATAATTCCATCGTTCGAATTGTTATTTGCTATAGAGATTCTTGTGACGTAAACGAATGAACATACACATTTTTAATGATCATTTAACAGTGCATTATTGGATAAAAAGATATTAATCAACAAAAAATATATTAATATGTTAAGATTGAGCATCGTCTCTTTAGTTAGACTTGTTACGCCAAAACAGGGATAAAATATATTCTTTAATTAACAATGGTATTTTTATAATAGATCGACTCTGTCCTGAAAAAATTCATTCTTTTTCATCGGCAATGAAAAAAAGGATAAATCCTCATTGAATATCTTATTGATCGACATGATAAAATCTAAATCTTCATCCTATCTTATTTTTGTTAAATTAATTTCGATAGATTTCTTGAGTGTTTCTAAGATAAACATTTGTTGATAAACAATACCAAGAGATGTAACCACTCCTAACGATACTATGTGAATACATATGTGCTGTTTGATTCGTTTGTAAATAAAAGAATATGTTGGAATAAATTGAGATCAAAATAAATTTTTATTAGTTACTCGATTTTCCCAGACGTGATAGTTTACGAAGATTGATTCTCAACTGCATATAGTCACATAGAGAACAGATATTTTTGATGAGATTACTCATGAGAGAATCATAAACACTCATCGTATTATATGTCAAATGATTTATTCCACAAAGAATAAAACTGAAAGAAATGTTATAAATAAGAGAGTCTCAAGAAAATAATGTATTTGAGTATATGGTCAGCGGAGAATATTTTTCTGAAAGAGATTAAACGCTTGTTTATTATTTTCGTTCCATAAAAATGCTGAGAAAAGAATTATTTCTGTTTTCTTCGTTGAATGACAAATTCGTGTAAAAAAAGTCTTGCTCCATTTCACACCATTGTTAAATAGTTCGAGTCAAATTTAAGCTGGACAATTACGTAAGTTATCTTATCGCCTGATTCGAATTTTTTTTCAAGATTCATCCGTTCTGAATGTGTTCCAGCTCTGACCTCACTGGTTCTAAGTTCAACTCAGTGCGCCCTATCGATTTCAATGATAGAATTGTTGAGAACAGCTCTCATTTCCCTTCATAAATCCCCAAAACTGTAAGAAAACATGAAACTTTTGGAAAACCCCAAGCAGATTTGCTACTGTACTATTTAGCTTGATCAAAAACCCGCTCCAGGTAGAGTTTGACGAGCTCTATAGATTTCAATTATAAAATTTTTCACTCCAATCCACACTCTTGAAAGTTATCGCATATCGTCATGATTTACTATTCATATTACCTATGAGGTTTTATTCTGTAGCACTATAAAGAAAAGTCAAATAACAGAAAAATAACGAGAGAAAAAAAATCAATTTTTCATGAACAGTTTTCATTTCTTATCGAAGCAATAATGAATCATAATCAGGAAGAACATTTCCACTTTCAGTAGGCTTTGATTGTGACATTTTGGCGCCAAGTCGTGTATTAAGAAGTTTCGAAACAGCCGTTAGTAAAGCGTTTCTCACGAATATTCCCGTTTTCGTTTCTGGTGCAGTGATACGTAAAGCCAATGGAAACATGTTTTGAGTTTTATTCACAAATGGTCGCATCAAATCTTCGTATTGTTTAAATGCTTCTGTATGGTTTTGAGAGCGTCCAATTTCACCGGCCAAGAGATATGCACCAATAAAAGCTTTACTTGTTCCGAAACCATTGGCAGTTGTACCATATGCTGCATCACCTACAAGAGCTACTCGACCTTGTGACCACCGATCCATATTAATTTGTACAGCAGTTTCAAAATAGAATTCAGATGTATTCTCGAGTTCACGAAGTATTCGAGATATTTCAAAACCGGCATCATGGTAGTGCTTTTGTAATGCTGCTTTTTTCTCGTCTATATTGAGATTTTCATATCCATGATCTGAACTACGAAATAATAGTAATACACGTGTTGTACCCTGATTATCAGGACGAAGAATAATTGTTCGTCCTCTCGGTGCATTGTACCAACGTCCCCATTCATTATCGGACGGACTCCGAGGAATGGTAAAATATGCGATATTCAAACCGAGATAATGCTTTTGTGTTTTATTACTAAACACCAAGCGTCGTGTTTTTGACTGTATTCCATCCGCACCAATTACCAAGTCAAAATCGCGACTTTTTCCGCTTGCAAATGTCACTTGTACGTGATTTTCTTGATCGTTGATTGATAATGGATGATCGTCAAAGACATATTCAACATTACGATGAGTGTGATCATAAAGTATATTTACTAATCGATCACGAAGAATTTCAATATCAGAGATGAAACCTTTACCTCCAAAATCATCTGAACGGAAAGTGGCTTGAATTCGTCCGTTACGATCGACTAGATGTACTCCTTTCTCACCACTGAGATTTTCACGAATTGCATTAGCAATACCCATGCGTTGAACAACTTCTCGAGCAGCAGTTTCACGTAGATCGAGAACTTGACCACCTTTGCGTAGATGTGACGCACGTTCGACTACTACTGGTTGTACACCATAACGATGAAGAAAGTAAGCTAATACAGGTCCAGCTACACCAGCACCCACAATCAGAGCTGTACGTTTTTTCGACGTATTTTTCGAAAGAACTGAAGACGTACGTGACAATACTAAATTCATTTTATTCTATAATTACGAGTATACAAGTTAATCTATCAAATCAAATCAGTGATTAAGTTACTATCGTTTAGAGGAGAAAACTTTGGAATAGAAAATAAGTTCAATGTACTTGCGCATCAAATAATGTAAAAGTCTATACCTAATGAGTGAGAAAGACAAGCAAAACCGCTGTTGGATCATGACAGAATCAATCAAAATATTTTGAAAAAGGAGAAAATTACTTGAAGTACGAAATTTCTCATCATTGATTTTCTTACTGAGAATTTCTTCTGTTCATTATGGTTGAGACTATCCTAGCGTATAGATGTCACACTTATACAAGAAGAAAAGAAAGAATATTCACTAAACAGTCATTTTTCTATTCATTGTTGTATAGGGATTTGAAAGTGGTGGCGTAGCCAGGATAGGCGCCAACTACTCACCGGAAATTTTTCAAAGATCGAACTTGAATCGTTATGCATATAAAGTAACATATTCAGGTATACTGAGAATAAAAATTTAGTTCGAATCGCAAAAGACTCGCGCTTAGGATTATTGACAACTAATTCTCAGATTAGAATATGAGTATTAGTTCAAGAGAATTGTCATTATCGATCAAAAACTAAGAAAATATTTGAATAATAGTGCAGAATGTGATCAAATAAAAATGAAGATAAGTGTTTGTTTCTTATTTCATAAAGGATATCTCATTTCTATCGAACAGAAGTCAACATGTCTTACAAGCGTCTCTTGGATTTTATCAAGAAATGAAATGTTTATGATGAAGACGAAATTTTGTCTCACCTTGATCAAATCCTTTCAACAAGGATTCTTCTTTCTTTAATGATAATCATTTTCACAATCATTATCATTTTTACCAGTTTAAGTTTCCAACCATATCATAAAACTGTTCTATTTCCATCTGAAAATACATTCAAAGATCTGTCTATTCGCTATCCAACTATACACGTTCCTGTTTATGTCGACAAAGTTCAATTCGTCAAGATAAATTTACTTCATTTCATCCACGATTTCATCCAATATGTACAAGTCAATTCATCAACAATCCGATATTTCTTCAATCATTATTTGACAAGAATGTTAGTGATTATTGGCCATTTGATTATCGTAAGATGGTAGCTGCTCATTTTCAATTAATTACTTCATATTGTCGACATGAAACAAAAAACTTTCGATGTTATCAAAGAATTTTCATCAAAATATCTCATCACTGCTGAAGCTTTAACAAATGATGTATTTAATACACAAGCCAAAGAACTGATTGATCATTTTATATCGGTAACTGTTGCTAAAAATATGTACATCAATGAATTTATCGAATTTAGTATTTCCAAAAACAGTATTCATACAGATCTTCGTTCGAATTATCTTATGAAAATCTTTCCATCAGTGATCAGTTTTGGACCAGTAACTTATCAGACAACTGATGATATGTGTAGATGTTCAGCTGATAATGTTTGTTCAAGTCCAGCTGGTATTTATAATATAACCGAACGAACAAAAATTATGAATGGGAATATATTTCATATAAATCAGTCTGATACACCGTTGATATTTCAATTATCTAATATTAAAGTTGGTTCTTATCCATATAGTTCATTATATTCATCGATACTTGAATGTTTTTACAATCAATCATGTATTGATCTTCTTCGTTCTTATATTCCTGGATTTTCATTTGTTTCTCCATTGATATCATCAGATTTTCCTTCAGAAACATTTGTCAAATCTTTAATCAGTAAACTATTCATTGAATCGTGGAATGAAGTGATTAATTTTAGTAGTTATTATCAAATTTGTTCTCCACATTCCTGTGTTTTATTCATACAATCGACGATTTAATTTCTTATATATTCTCACTGTTGTTCTTGGTCTTTTTGGTGGTTTGAAGATGATTTTACAAATATCTATTCCATATTTCATTCAATTGATACGACGAATCAAAATGATGATATATCAACGATGGAAACGAAAGAAAACCACGATAGTTATTCAATCAAATGAAGATCAAAGTAATTTATTTTTCCTACTTCTTTTTTTCAAACACGATCTTCTCCATTCTCTAATACACATTGCCCATAGCTTATAGAAGATTTCATATTGAGAGTGTGAATGTCAATGATGGTATCTCAAACTTATATGCACTTTTCTTTACCCTATAATCAATTCAAATGTTCACATTTACAAATTCAACACAGTTCGATCGGATGACATAGTGATTGATCATTTGCCGAAAATTTAATGAGTGATATAGAGTATATTGTTAGGAGAAGATACCCACTACAAATTTAAAAAAAACATTTTAATCGGATTTCCATTGAGAAATTTTTTAAGGTTTAAAAAATCGTTGTTTAACAATTCTAAAACAAATTCCACAACGGATAATGACATATAATATGTTTTTATCGGAAAGTCAGATCAAAGATGGACTTTATTCAACACGTATTTATATTTCATTACTTTTCGTGGGAATAATTACATTAGTTTTGTACACATCAGTTTCTACCCGTATTCAAAGCGTTACTGTAAAATATCCGTCAATTTGGGATTATGAACAATTATATGAAAAGTATCCTTCAACACTTCTTTGTCCATGTACTCAAATTTCTATAAAATATTCATCGATAATCAATATAAATGTACATTTATATCAAGCTTGTTCCAGTGATTTTATCGAAGATGACAAATGGTTGCTTTATGAAAAAAGATTTAAAAGGTCGTCACTCGGCTTTTGATTTTCGTATTTCAGGAATGGGATTTTTTTACATTCTCAAATCATTGTGTGCTTTAGCGAAGAAAACTCTCTCATATAAACTTGCGGTATTTAATAGAACATATCTGATAACTAAACAAGTATTATCCAATAATATATTTCAAATTCAAATATCTTCAATTATTCAGCAATTTCAACAACAAGTAAGGTCAAGAAATCAACAATGAAATCATATTCATTACATTCGATTTTAGACTATTTCTTCTTTTCTCGTTCTATTTGAACTTATTCGAACTTCAGTGCAACTTGGAAATGGAAATAACAATGTTAAGATAGAATTTGATGATGATGAACCAGTCTATATCACATTAACTAACTATTATGAAAAGAATTGTTCATGTGGTATTAATACAAATTGTACAACATTTGTAGCGTTTTTCTGCCATGATCAATATTGTGATGAAAATTCTACTATAAAACAAGTACCAATACCTGCTTTTGTTCTAAGTTGTTTTACTCTTGATTCTTTTCTCATGTCAACACTAAAATGTATGTACGATTCGTCATGTTTTCAAATGTTATTAGATGATTATTCATTCGGATTAGTTAATAGTTCAATCGATCCACGTGCAATCAATGTCACTCTACTAAATTCAACAATCAAAAGTCGTTTTCCACCTAAGACAATTGTTTGTTGAAGATTAGACACATACGACAAATTTCAGTTCATTTTATAAAGAATGTGCCCCGGAAGAATGTCTTTATACATACGAAGAACGTTTTGTCAAAAGTTATGTCATATCTACAACTGTTTCTACTGTCAGTGGTTTATCTATTGCTCTTCGACTATTAGTTCCTCTTCTTGTAAAATTCCTTCGAAGAATATATTATCGTTATTGGAAATCGCAAGGACAAGATCAACGAATTCTTGTCGGAATACGAGAAAAGATTCAAACGATGAATGTCTATCGAAAGAAAACTATGGAAAATCTTCCTGCAAACGAAGAAACGATTTTAACTCGACGTCAACATATTGCTACTGGTTTTTATATTGTTTTCTTCATTATTTCAATAGTTATTATATTATTTTCCGTTGGTTTTTCATCGAAATCTTATCATAAAACAGTTTCGTATCCAAATATTTCAACATATGAGAAATTACAAAGTCAATACTTTTCAACAATGACTTGTCCATGTTCACAAATTGCAATTCCGTATTCCAAATTTCTCTCCGTTCGACCATCTGCTTATCATGAAATTTGTTCAAGTGATCTAATTTCATTTGATTTTATTGAATTTCTCTGGGGCGAAGAAACAACAGATGGATATACTTTGAATGTCGATCGAAAAATCTTGACTGCTCATATTCGTCTCCTATCGGCATTTTGTTCTCTCGGAAAGAATCTTGTTGAGCAAAAGATTAAAATATTCTCTGAACAAAATTTCATTAGTATCGAAACGTTGACACGTCATTCTTTTCAAATTCAAATCAATTCATTGATTCAAAATTTCATTGACGAAATACCAATTAGTTTTCGTTGGACTCATCAATATATTACAGATTTATTTCATGGAAATCAATTATCACATCGATTTGGATTGAATTGGCTGTATTTTACCTCTAATGAACGAAATCATTATTATATCAGAACAAATCCAACACTTTACAATGAAAGTGGTCAACCATGTTCATGTTTAACATCATCAACGTGTTCAAGATCGCTACTGGCAAGTTTTGATACAGTTGTACAATTACCAGGTAAAGCATATCCAAAGGAGTATATTAAAAATGAAAATTATTTCTTCATAGGTATAGTTTTGGGTTGTTTACCTATTATTGGTCTTCGTTTATCAACACTTGAATGTTTTTATAATTCAACATGTTTAAGTGAATTCGAAAATTTCATAAATAGTTCGGAGAAATTTAATATTCTCAATATATCCGTAGAGACTCGATTTAGTCCGATATCATCGGTATCAATCGGTACATTGATTGATGAACTATTCATTGAGAAATGGGAAAATTCGAGTAATTATTCCAATTATTTTGTGAATTGTGCACCATTAACATGCCGCTATAGTTATGAAAAGAGAAATGACTTTCTCTACGTATTAACAACATTTTTAGCTTTATATGATGGATTAAGTTTTACCTTAAAAGTATTTATTTGGTACATTCTGAGTATCTATTGGAAAATACGTCAACGGTTTGTTATTCGTCGCAATCAAATTCAAGTGATAAGTGGAGACCAGCAATGATTCTCCTTTTGCTTTTATTGTTGTATATTATGTCTTCATTATCAATATAATGAATGATGATACGTTTATTCTGCAGACTGACAATACGAGAGATCAACTCGTTTCAAGATATACTGAGAATTAATATTGGGATAAAAAAATAACTGTTGTTGTTTTATCTGAAGAGATTTCTGTAAGGAACAGTATATAGGACTGCATCGCTATCGCTAGTAAGTGACAAATTCACTTTATAGGCTTGTTCGAAAACAATGTCTGCGACTTTTTTAAACACTTATTGACTGACTATGCTCAGTGATAAGGATTGCAAGCGCTGAAGCAGCTCTTTCTCATACGTTGTGATATGTTTAGATCTATTATTCATTTGTGCTTGAAGAAAAATATTGACGTATATTTGTTTTTCAAAGATAAACAGACACCCTCAAGATTCGATGTGAACTAGTTGACGTACACTGGATCGAAATCTAATCTTTATTTGAAATGATGGAAATATTTTCTCAGTGATGGATTTTATTCTATCGTAGAAGACAAAAGGAATGTTTGAGTATTAGATGATGTCGTACGGAAAAGTAATTGCCTAAATCTTCTGCATATAAACCATGCGATTGGAAGAATGTGTACTTTGTTTATGTCAATGGTCAAATCAAAATCAACCTTGACCTCTTACATATCAATGGTTACGGTTCGTTGCGATTGTCTATCGAGAAAGAAAACTTTTCATTCGTTCGTCTATTGAACATGGTCAATAGTTCATTGAAAGAATCGACATTACAATGTTTCAACTTGAACACATGTGCAACGAAATTTTACTTTGCATTTGGGATTATTTATCATCTGCTGATGTTATTTATAGTTTTTCCAATCTGAATACTCGTCTCAATTGTTTACTATCAGAATTTTATGGACTTTACAAAAAATTAGACTTACGTTATTGTTCATTAGCAGCTTGTCGTTTTCTTTCTCGTATCGTACCGAGTACGAGTGATTGGTATTTTGGTCTTACTGTTTTGAAATTAGGAAATTCTGCTCGATGTTCTCAAATCGAATTATTTCTAGACGGAGTGATCAAATCACTTGTCGAACAACAAGGAAATTTCTCTCGTAATACCAAGTCATACAAACATCTAAAACCAATATTTCCTCAATTAACTTCTTTACATATTTCTTTAACAAGATTGTTCGATGAAGATTCTATTGATATCTTATTATCAGTAATAGCTGGAGGAGCAAAAATGCGTAGATTTACATGTCATGCTTGTCCAAGTCAAATTCATCATTCACAACCTTTCTTTGATTGGTTATTTCGATGTTCAACGAATCTTGCTCATTATCGATTGCAGATTTCTCAACTTGACGATGGTTTTCAATTAACGTATGAACATACAATTAATCAAAACTATATTCCGCACTATTCTCTTGCTTATCTCAAAATCGATATTCTCGATTTAAATACATTTTACGTACTCATACATTATCTTCCTAAACTTGAACATTTAGGTAAGGATTTGTAAATATACATATGTGTATATTTGTTTTCATATGTAGATGTAAATATTACCAAGGTTATGGGTCGAACTGATGATTTTGATCAAACTCTCATCGGAAAATGCGATTATCCGAAAAACTTGCGTGTATTGATTTTAAGGTAATAAATTTAGGTTTGAAATCATGTTTTCATCATCTGAATGTACTTTGTTAAGACATTTTCAAGTTGCGGGACCCAATTGTTTTTATCTTGATCAATTGGTTGAGAAGTTTCACAATACTCTCGAAGAATTTTCTTTGTTTTTCGTTCATTTTTGCGATGGTCAACTTGATATATGTTTTGATAGTCACCGTCTTGCCACTCTTTGTAATCGATTAACCCATTTAAAAGTTTTGCATTTTGCCATTCATTTACGATTTCTCGCACGGCCAAGTCAACAAATATTATATCATTTTATTAAAGGATTTCAAACGTCTTTTTGGCTCGATGGACCATTGGGTCAGATGCGAGTGTGTGTGAATTATCATCAACTATTGGATTTTGTACAAATATTCTCTCTTCCATATAAATTTTATGATAATACTTTGTATCGCACAACGGATTTCGTCGATACATTGTTTAATGTTGATGAACGAATACAAATGACAGGAAATGATTTATCTTTCGCATTCAAATCCCTTTGGTGTGGAATGCGCTGTTTGTTGATGTGTTTTCTTGAAAAAGAGGAAATACCAATTTCACTTCTTTATGCACTTCAATGTCCTTCGAATCGAAGTAAAAGTTGTTTTCAGAAAAAATTTTCTTTTTATCTTTAATCCATTGTTACAGATCAAACATTAGCGATAACAGGTACGAAAGGAATAATGCCAAATGATATATATCAATGTGTACAACTTACACAGTTCACTTCAGTTCAACTGTTGTGTGAATCTGAAATTACAACTGATTATAATATACAACGTATGTCCACATTTGTTCGATATATCTCAGTTTTCGTTATCGCGATAACACAATCATCGATTAACAATCGTAGGATTAATCGTTTTATCAATGTTTTGTTTTTTATTGCAGAAACAATTAATTGGTTCCGTTTATTACCAAACATAAAAAGTTTATTTGTTGGTTTATGTGAATTGCGTCATTGGATTACGAATGATTCTCATAATCAGTATCTTAATACATTCCTTCAACGTTTGGATAAAATCTTTATAGAATGTTCATCAATTACAAATGAATATTTGAATGAAGAAATGATGATACCATTTCTTTCATTTATTCTCAATAGACAACGTTTCTCTCAATTAGAATATCTTGATTTCTTTCAATTTCAACATGTCTCATCAGCATGGTGTATTATTAACAAATGGACTAATTATATTCTCAATCATTGCAATGAACATCAATTGAAATATTTGCAATTTAGTTTGATTGAAAATGATCAACTACTGACGAATATGAAAACAGGTGATGAAATAATTACAATTAGTGATCCACCACGTATTATCGATATTCATCGATCTGTTTCAAATAATTACATTTCGTTTTGGATGGAAAGCAGATGTAAATAAATTCTCAACATAAACGCAGCTTAAGGGGCTTTTTTTTGTAGTGAGTTTCGCATATTCATATACTCAAGGGTCGACCTCTTTTTTATACCATATTTCGGGACGAAACCAAGGATGTAATAAACAAAATATGCTCATGCTTGTGCAACTGTATGAAAAGTCGTCTTATTTTAGATTTGCATAGACATGAAAACTGGAAAATTTATAAGTGAGAAATTTATTAATTAAAAAGTTTAATTGATATAAACTCTACTTTTCGATCATTGCTGAAGACACTGTCGGATATAGAAGTATGACATGCAAATGCAAATGAATAAAGGTGAAGAATGTCTTTAGCTTTTTCCTGAAGGAAAATCTCGAACTGTTCCAGAAGCGCGAGTAACACTGTATGCGCCACCATAATCATTCATATCTGCTGGTCTTGGGTTCTGTATCTGCTGTATAGCTGCACCCGGTAATGGTGCTGCGGCTAATTCAGATGACGATGCTGATATTGGTGAAATTGTAGATGAACATGAATTCGGTAGAAATGAAGATTCAGCTCCTCTCCGTATAACATCCGAACTCCAATTACACAAGTTCAATTCACTTCAAGGAACTGTTTGCAGTTCTTTTCAACTGAACTTAACTAATGGTTGATAGGTGAACCAATCCATTTCAATTGTAGTCACAGAAACAGAACAAAAGAGTTTTGTCCTCCTTCACAGCTCTATAGTTTTCTCCATCAACTGTCAACTCATTAACAACTCAATTCATTTCAGTTGAAACACTATTCGAGCAGTTCCTATGGGCTCCTAGTGGGGCCCAATAAGTGCTAGATGGTGCATATGATTAAACAGAACACTTTTTATACATATAGAAATACATATTCCAAAATTCTCTTCTCATTTTAGCTTCATGTTACCGTAATGCAGAATGAATTGAAAAATGTGATATCTGTCGTTTGTATTTCTGACTGTTAAATCGATGTACCAAGTATTTATATAGCGAGGTGCAAGTACAATGAATGTGGTAGCAATATAGCATACGATCTAATGAAAGTATTTCAAAGAAGACGAAACAATGACCAGAGCAGACGCTCTGGAATTTTGCTTTTCTTTATTCTTATTTCGCAATATATTCAAAAATGTACATTCACTCGTGCATTGGGACATGAAGGATTGACTTCAATATCAATAAGAGAAATGTCTCATAGATTCAAAATCACAACGTAATTTCTTTGTGTTTTATGAATATCGAGCACACTTTTGACGGCAGAAGGCCACAATGATTCATAGGAAATACTCAACATTCTTCCAACTTAATAAGTGTGGTTTCATATGCACTGCAATCAATACTCGCAATATAAATCATTGTGAAGTACAGAACAGAAGAACAGTCAAAGATTAACTTTTACTCAACAGATAAGCCACATTGTTCACTAGTCACTGAGGCAAAAAGATTCTACTGAACTTCAAAACAAAGTCACTGATTTCCAGAAAAAAAGAAAATATTTCGAATAATATTTTTGAAGTTTGAAAACAAATTCTATCGAAACGAATGTAAATGTAAATCACTTGAAAAAGTGTTGTTTGATTCATTCAAATATTCGGACATAATTCAATCTACAACAGTTTCTTTTTCGAGTATATTTGATCAATGAATAACAAACGCGTTTCTTTTCTTTTTCTCCTTCTGCGGAGAATTTTTATGGTATTTTTCTTCCTTGCCAACGTCGACAACAACAACAGCATTGCCGTTTTTAGAAAATTCTCTTTTCTGAATGGGTTGTGGTTCAAGTAAATCGGATGAAGATAGAATACTTGATTACTCTTCACGGAAGACATGTTCGTGTTGTCGATGTGCTCGAAGAACTGGCGCCAGAGGGTGTTTAAAATGGTTTGATTGCTGTTGTTGCTGTTATGATCTTCCCACACCTTTATCCGAATCAGACGTCGATTCAGTGATTAAACCCGTTCGTCAAGCCGATATCGAATCCGAATCATTTCCAGATCCAATTAAAGAAAACAAACGAGTTTACAAAAATCAATTAACATATGATCCATCAGTTCAAATCAAAATCATTTCCTTTTCTGGACTTNTGAGAATTTGTTTTTATCTGTTTTCCATCCAAAACGAAATGTTATTATTTGAAACAGATCGATGAATATCGATAATACGCGGTGGATCACTAATTGTAATTATTTCATCAGCTGTTTTCATATTCGTCAGTAGTTGATCATTTTCAATGAAGTGTGAATGATCATAATAATTGACATATTGCAGTGAGAACTTTATTAATTAAAATGATTAATTGATATAAACTCTACTTTTCGATCATTGCTGAAGACACTATCGTATATAGAAGTATGACATGCAAATGCAAATGAATAAAGGTGAAGAATGTCTTTAGCTTTTTTTTGGAGGAAAATTTCGAACTGTTCCAGAAGAGTTAGTAGTACTGTATGTGCCACCATAATCATTCATATCTGTTGGTCTTGGATTCTGTACCTGCTGTATAGCTGCACCCGGCAATGGTGCTGCAGCTGATTCAGATGACGATACATCGTCTGCTGATGATGATGATGGTATTGATGACACCGATGATATTGATGAAATTGTAGATGAATATGAATTCGGTAGAAATGAAGATTCAGCTCCTCTCCGTATAACGTCTGGACTCCAATAACCATCAACACCGCTAGAGCAAGTGTCCGCAGTCGGAGTTTGACCGCTGTCTGAAGATGAATTCGAGCTGCTCATCGCTTTCTAAAATGATCAAAAATTTGCTGTATTGTTATCCGAAATTTTTTATCTGGGAGATAGGAGTACACAAGTTCAATTCACTTCAAGGAACTGTTTGCAGTTCTTTTTAACTGAACTTAACCAATGGTTGATTGGTGAACCAATTCATTTCAATTATAGTCACAGAAACAGAAAAAAAGAGTTTTATTCTTCTTCACAGCTCTATAATTTTCTCCATCAACTGTCAACCAATTAACAACTCAATTCATTTCAGTTGAAACACTATTGAAGCAGTTCCTATGAGCCCCTAGTGAGGCCCAATAAGTGCTAGATGGTGCACATGATTAAACAGAACACTTTTTATACATATAGAAATACATGTTCCAAAATTCTGTTCTCATTTAAGCTTCATCTTACCGTAATGCAGAATGAATTGAAAAATGTGATATCTGTCGTTTGTATTTCTGACTGTTGAGTCGATGTACCAAGTATTTATATAGCGAGGTGCAAGTACAATGAATGTGCTAGCAATATAGCATACGATCTAATAAAAGTATTTTGAAGAAGACGAAAAAATGACCAGAGCAGACGCTCTGAAATTTTGCTTTTCTTTATTCTTACTTCACAATATATTCAAAAATGTACATTTTCTCTATCGGGTACATTTTAAAGTCTGAAGTCAATGATACTCAAATGATGTACATTCATTCGTGCATTGGGACGTGAAGGATTGACTTCAATATCAATAAGAAAAATGTCTCATAGATTCAAAACCACAACGTAATTTCTTTGTCTTTTATGAATATCGAACACACTCTTGACGACAGAAGGTCACAATGATGCATAGGAAATACTCAACATTTTTCCAACTTAAGAAGTGTGGTTTCATATGCACTGTAATTGATACTCGCAACATAAATCATTGTGACGTACAGAACAGAAGAACAGCCATAAAGATTAACTTTTACTCAACAGATAAACCACATTTTTCACTAATCATTCAGACAAAAAGACTCTATTGAACTTCAAAACGAAGTCACTGAATTCCTAAAAAAAAAAGAAAATATTTCGAATAATATTTTCGAAGTTTGAAAACAAATTTATCGAAAAAGAATGTAAATGTAATTCACTTGAAAGTGTTGTTTGATTTATTCAAATATTCGAACATAATTCAATCTACAGTTTCTTTTTCGAGTATATTTGATCAATGAGTAACAAACACGTTTCTTTTCTTTTTCTCCTTCTACGGGGAATTTTTATCATATTTTTCTTCCTTGCCAACGTCGACAACAACAACAGCATTGCCGTTTTTTAGAAAATTCTCTTTTTCTGAATGGGTTGTGGTTCAAGTAAATCGGATGAAGATGGAATACTTGATTACTCTTCACGAAAGAAATGTTCGTGTTGTCGATGTGCTCGAAGAACTGCCGCCAGAGGGTGTTTAAAATGGTTTGATTGCTGTTGTTGCTGTTATGATCTTCCCACACCTATATCCGAATCAGATGTCGATTCAGTGATTAAACCCGTTCGTCAAGCCGATATCGAATCCGAATCATTTCCAGATCCAATTAAAGAAAACAAACGAGTTTACAAAAATCAATTAACATATGATCCATCAGTTCAAATCAAAATCATTTCCTTTTCTGGAATTGAAAAAATACATGAGATTGCACATGTTGGAAATGCACATGAATTGGGTCTTAAGAATTTCAATCCTCTGGATTGTATTGAAGGCTTCGAAGATGAAACAGATGTTACATTTGAAGAATCTCTACAACCTATTATTCAAGACAATCCTCAATTACGCAGTTATATCGATGAAGCAAAAGCCAAGTGTAACAAATCGTCTCAGCACGGTTTAACTGTTGATGAATCAGCAGCAATTTACATTTATTCGATGGAGGTTTCAGATGGTGTTTGTCAACTACTATACAAAGATTGGAGTCTCAATGATAAATCCGCCATGAAGAAGTGGTTGAAGTTTTTAAAACTATTTAAGAATGCTTTAGATAAATTACCCGATGCTGATAAAGCTTGTCAAATTGTTTCTTGTGATGAAAGTATTCAAGACATGTTGGAAAATAGTTCTTCGTCCATATACACGGCACTTTCGAAGGCAAAGCCAGAAGAACCAGATATCAGCAAGCATCGTGATTTAGCAAAAAATGGAAAATTATGCTCAGTAACATATCTCTGTGCTGGAGGAAAAGATGTTACAGATTACACACCAGGGAAAAAGATTTCGGTGATTTTATGGCCAGGATTGAAAGTTAGTAGTATAATGACTGAAATAAGGGATTTTTGTGGATATATTTATTTCCATCTGAAACCACGTTCAGGTAAATGAAAATGTTCAGTTTTGAAAAATCTTTCATTTTTATTTTAGAATCGCCCGTTCGAAAACCTGAACCAATTCCAATTGAACAAGGATGGATAGATCATCCGAAGGTATCTCGTCGAAAACCTTCGATTGATATTTTCGTTCCAATTCATATTTCTCCGATGCCAAAAGAGGTCATAACAAAGAAAACGTATGAAAGACATTTCTTCTGTTCTCGACCCGGTTGTCGAAATTCTTGTTCAGCTGATCATTCTCGAAATCATTGTCGTGGATTTTCATTTGTTCATCACGAATGTTCACATCATTGTTCTCCGCAAAATCGCTGTTTTGTGTGTAAAAAACACGTGACGAAATTACATCAATGTAATCAATGTAATTGGCGTCTTTGTGAAAATTGTTCTTTTAAACAAATAACTATAATTCGTCTAGAGAATAAATAATTCAACTTGAAATATTTGAAAGTTTTAGAAAAAAAAGTTTTATATAAAGAAAAGAAGAAAAAAAAATCGATGCCATTTTTCTTCATCAAGTATGGGTTGTTGCTGTTGTTGTTGTCGTCGTTCTGATGTTCTTCCGAGTGTTAAAACACGTGAAGAAATTTCACCATTTCATCCAGATATAAAACGTGTTGATGTGGAAAAGATAGAAGAACGAAAACAAAGTGTTTCACTTGTTGGAAAATCCCGATTCGCTTTAGAAAGATTTAACAAATGTGGTTTTAGTCAAACAAATCCATATTTATTAATCCAAGGGTTCGAAAATGAGCCAATCGTCACATTGGAAGAATCTCTGCAACCGTTTCTTGATGAAAATCCTCAATTAATTGATCATATTAATGAAGCCAAGTTGAATTGTAACAAATCAAATGAATTCGGTTTGACTGAGGATGAATCAGCAGCGATTTATATTTATTCAATGAGAGATTCAAGCGGTGTTTATGATTTATTAGAAAATGCATGGAATTCCAATAATAAATCCATCATGAAACATTGGTTTAAATATTTGAAATTATTAAAAAATGGTTTAGATAAATTACCTGATGTGAATGAAGAAATTTGGCAAGGAATTCTTTTAGATGAAGGTCAATTGAAACACCTTGAAAACGATTCAACAGAACTCTTTTCTTGTATGGCAACATGTGTTTTATCGAAAGAAGAAATTCTCAAATATTTACAAGAAAACTCCAATGAGAAATTTACTTTCGTTGGTTATGTTGGAACTGGTGGAAAAGATATTTCAGCTTTTACAAAGAATTCCAAAGTGATGTTTGTTTGGCCAGGAAGTAAATTATGTAAAGCGAAAGATTCAGAAAGAGATAATGATGGAAATATTGTTTTTCATTTAACGAAACGTCAAAACCGTGAAGAGGAGGATGAACAAAGTCAAGAAGACGGATCGAATGTAATTGAAAATGAAAATCTCTCGGAGATTTCGGCTGATGTTCCGATAAATCCGAGAGAAAATGAAAAACATTTCGTATGTCCCAAGAAATCTTGTCGAAATTCGTGTTCACGTATTCATTCATCAACACATTGTCGCGGATTTTCATTTGTTAATCATAATTGTTCGCATCATTGTGGACCCGGACATCGTTGTTTCTTTTGCAAAGTCCATGTGACAAAATTATATCAATGTAATCAATGCAACTGGCGTCTCTGTAAAAACTGTTGTTTCAAACAAAATTAAGTTTTACTTCGTTTGAAATGTTTTTATTTTTATTAAAAGAAATACTCTGAATTAAAGAAAAAAAAACAGATATGGAAAACATTAAATTCGACGAGGACCAAATTGTCGTCGAGACATTTGACGTTTGATTTGAATTTTCACATAAATCCAAAGAGCAATGAAAGCGAGACAAAGAAGAAAAAGAACAATTCCAAACGCAAGTTGCGCAGCGGGTAATCCACCTAGACTCTTTACACGAGAATCACTAAAATCAAATAATCCGGCGCTTCTTGCTAAATCAACTCGTTTCGCATTGATACCCAATTCAATAATTGAGAACATTGCTCCGACGATACTCGCAATAAAGGCAATGAATGACCAACGACGAATAGATTTCATCCATCCTAAGGAAAAATACGATTTGAAATTACTTTCAAGCGAAAACTGAATTTCTACTTATTATGAGAATAAGAATTCCAGCAGCAAGAGTGAAAACTCCACACCAAATTCCAACTCCGGTGAAATAAACTCCATCACCAGTGACATCGCCAATCACTCCTAAACAAATTGTTTAACGAGAAATTCTCTAGAAAATGCGAAATGTTACCTAACAGAGCAATTTCTAAGACGATTATTATTACTGAGAAGAAAATGATAACACCTCCGAGAATTGACGAAATTAAAGACGGCCAACGTGTTTTCCAATGATATTCAGGAGATCCAATTGGTATTTGATTACCAATAGGAGGACCAGGGAATCTCGCACGATTCGCAAACATTTTAGTGAGTAAATAGATAAGAAAACTATTTCGATTTCCTCAGAGAAAAGCAAGATATTTATACCCCGTCGTCATTTCCTCATTAAAAAATTACGAAAAAGTTTCCAACTGCATGATTTTTCTCATTCTGCTCTTTTACTTCACACTTTTGTAATGAGTCGTCATAAAATATATCATATAATGTTTTACAGAGAAAAGAATACGTTGATGAGAGAATCAATTTATACAGGTGTACAAATATTATATTCGAAAGAAGAACAAACACTGTGTAAACTAAATATCTCATATTCTTTTTTTTTATCTAAAAAGGAAATGAATCATTTTCATTTGGCCAAAAAATATTATTCATAAAACATGATTTTTAAACTGAATTATGGAAACAAATATCTTTACAGTAAATCATGAATAAATGGACGGACGGACCGCAAATGTTGATTAGACAAAACTGTGTGTCGAAAGTTTCACTCTTCTTTTCTTTTAACGATGAAAGATATCTGTAGATATGAGACCTCTTTATTATGCAAAGTAACTTTCAATAGGGCAATTCGATGATCCAATTAGATTTCTTCAATGTTATTTCTTCACTCCATTTTCCAAATGTCTTTGAGTGAAAGAATTGATTACAAATTTGGTGAAAATCGTTATTATTCATCAAATCATTGGATTTATGAAAAATGTTTCCTAACCGATCCGAAGATGATTGGAATTGTCTATTTCAAAGAATTCGATTATGCAATTTATTTAAATCCAAATGATAAACGTGGTTATCGTTCGATCATTCGTTTGATCAAAAATGACGATATGAATTCGACATTGAATCGATTTTATTCTTCTTTTGAACGAATTGGCCTTTCTTTAACAATGTCATTGGTTACTGATGCTTATTATCAAATTGTTCCCATCGTACAGAGTGTTGTGGCTGGAAATAATGCTCATTCATTTGATCAAGAAACTAATCTGATCGAACTGGGAAATGCAGACGAACCGAATTTTCTCCATGGTCATGTGTTCGGCCGAGGAAATCCAAAGAGAAACTATATTGGAAATGTTCCTTTAGAAGGTCCTTTTCCAGGATCGAATTTTGATTTGAAAGGAGAATTGGCAAATGAAAAGAAAATCCCTTGGAAATTCGAAGACATGGTACAAGTTGTTCAAAAATCAAAAGAAGAAATCGACCAATTGAAAAATATTTATGAAAATTTCGGATTAAGAATCTTCACGGAAAATCTTTCGTTTGAAATTTATTTAATTCGACATGGTGAAACTGATTGGAATATCGAAAAGAAACTTCAAGGACATACGGATATTCCATTGAATCAAAATGGACTTTTACAAAGCGAGAAACTTAAAGAAAAACTAAATGGAATCAATTTTTCTAAAATCATCTCATCAGATTTACAAAGAGCTCATTCAACTGCTCAACGAATTGACAATTCAAATCAACTAATTGAAAAATCAATTCTACTCAGAGAAAAATCGTTTGGTCAATGGGAAGGAAAATCGATTGAAGAACTTCATTCGTATTTAAAACAAACATTCGATCTCGATCAATTTACGAAAGAAGAATATTTATCTTTTAAATGGAATGAAGATATTGAAAGTTATTCGGATGTTTATCGAAGAATTTACCAGGTTATTCGTTCATTGATTATCTCTCATTCATCTGATCTGAACAATCCGGTATTGTTTTCAACGCATGGAGGAGTTCTAAGAACGATTTTATATCATTTTGATTACCAACAAGGATTTCGATGGAAAGTATCGAATTGTGNAGAATTATCCACTGACAAATGGCTAATCGATCTGATTCCTAAAAAGACCTCTGTATCCTATTCATTCCAGTTCTAGTGTGTGACATAGTGACATGATTGAGTTGAGCACTAGTAGTAATCGCAGTGCGTTTTTTCTCTTTCAAAGTCTCTGAATGTGTTCAGCATTCGGAAAAGTCTTTCAGAAAAGGGTCAGCGAATCCAAAGGATGAGCGTTACTTGTTGTAAAATTGTTGTGAAATATTTTCTTCTCAGTTATCGATAGAAAAATCTTATTTCACTTAATCAGCATTCATGCGAAGAGAAAAAGAAAAAGTTGAATCGCCTGTGTTCAAAATGCAGTGAACATATTTAAGCCGCAACTTGTTACTTAGAATATCAAGTTTTCTGTCATTATCACTATCCAAAACGCGGAGAAGGACCAACATTACAAGCTCTTTGTGAAGAAAATCATCCACTACTATTATTATAAAATACATTCACACATTAGAACTATTATCATTAACAGCAAATTACATCTGATTTGTTTTCGTTGTTAAGAGCATCTCTTGTTATTGACAACGGATAATCACTTTATGAATAATTTGTATTTTCCGGCGACAAATTTCCAGTATCCTGCGTTTAAATGAACACCAATATGCATATTTAAATATTGTCTGTTATTGTCAAAAAGAGCGACTTTGCGCTAAATGACTAAGGTTTTTGAAAAAAATTAAGAAAATTCGGAGGAATTTTGTGAAATTTCATAAATGAATGGAGATGTAACAAAGAGAAAACAAATCCTCTTTCATATTTGTCATACAAAAACTTGTTTTTCTCGATGAAAATCGTTGACAAGTTTGCTTTCAAACGATCAAAATTCATCATTGAATTAATATTCAAATAGATTTTTGTCTCAATTCTCTTTTCATCGAAGAATTTCTTTTCAACAAAAAGAGAAAAACACAATCCCTTTTGTCTTTTCACATGAAAAATTGAAAATCTTTCCAAAAAATTCTTCATTCTAATGTAAAGTCTTCATCCATTCCAATGTGTCGCTTTAATTCATCACAATTTGCATCTTTACATGAAAAAAAAACAAAAATTGCTCATGAAAGATTCGTGTTTCTTTAATTTTCCTTTCGAAATAAAATCAATTTCGACAGAATTTTTTTCTATCGGCAAATCAACTTTTCAATTTCATTTTCATCAAAACTTCATTTGTTTCCTTCCAGTTCTTCGTGTTGATTTCGTTCAAAATTGAAACAGAAACGAAAAAATAGATCTTTTCAGTCACAATTTATTTAATCTTTTCTCAGCTAAACAAGTTTTCCATTTTCACAATTTCTTGTTTGAAAAAGAAACAAAATTTCAGTTGAACATATTTTTGATCAATACAATTCGGCACTGTTGCGAGAAGAACATCCACCTGTCACTAATATTGTCTGANGAATATTTATCTTTTAAATGGAATGAAGATATTGAAAGTTATTCGGATGTTTATCGAAGAATTTACCAGGTTATTCGTTCATTGATTATCTCTCATTCATCTGATCTGAACAATCCGGTATTGTTTTCAACGCATGGAGGAGTTCTAAGAACGATTTTATATCATTTTGATTACCAACAAGGATTTCGATGGAAAGTATCGAATTGTGCTTTGATTAAACTACAAGTTTGTGTTGATGGCCAAATTTCTATTAAACAATTAGATGGAATTCAACTTATCAAAGATGAACATGTTTTATCTTCGTTTTAAAAGGTTTTTCTTCATTCTTTGAAATATATATTCGAATTACAGAAAGAGAAGAATTAATATCATCTGGTATTTCATAGAATATCACTTCTGTTTATTAAGTATTGTGCTGACATTTGAGAATTACGATGTCACATGTATCTTTAGTAAACTTCATATACATAAAAACGTTTCAACGGTAATATTATGATTTTCGTCTTTCGAATTTGTTTACATTAAACTAAGTTTCAGTTTTTAACCGATAACATAGATTAGTATCACAAGAACAAACTAAACAACTTTTCAAAAACGGAACATTTGTTTTTGCACAACCAATTTTCAAACATTGAACAGTAGAACTTTCACGAGAAGCATGATGAGTTATTGCTTTTATTCCAAGAAAATCGCTTTCTTTGTTAAATTTCAACAAAACAACATGATATTTTGGATTCCATAGCAATTTGTATGATCAACTTCACTACGCTTATCACATTGAAAAGCTCATATTAGAATTCATTTGTTGAATATATTTATTTTTAATAAACGAAATGATAATGAAGGTCTTTTCATTTTGTTATTGTAAAATATTTTTATATCATTTTCTTCTCAGTTATCGATAGAAAAATCTTATTTAACATAATCAGCATTCATGCGAAGAGAAAAAGAAAAATCAAGTGTCTGATTAACTTCGAACACAAAATACTAATTTTGTCGAAGAATTGTAATCATATTCGGAACAATAATATCTCCATTTGTGTCATTGTTAAGATCATAAACAGCCAATGAGCACGGAAAACAACCAGTTGCACAAGTTTTTCTCCAAGAAAATGTTGAATCATCTGTGTTCAAAATACAGTGAACATATTTAAGCCGGAATTTGTTACTTAGAATATCAAGTTTTCTGTCATTATCAATATCCAAAACTCGGAGAAGGACCAACATTACAAGCTCTTTGCGAAGAAAATCATCCACTACTATTATTATAAAATACATTCACACATTTGAACTATTATCATTAACAGCAAATTACATCTGATTCGTTTTCGTTGTTAAAAGCATCTCTTGTTATTGACAACGGATAATCACTTTATGAATAGTTTGTATTTTCCAACGACAAATTTCCAGTATCCTGCGTTTAAATAAACACCAATATGCATATTTAAATATTGTCTGTTGTCAAAAAGAGTGACTTTGCACTAAATGACTGAGGTTTTTGAAGAAAATGAAGAAAATCCGGAGGAATTTTTTGAAATTTCATAAATGAATGGAAATATAACGAAGAGAAAACAAATCCTCTTTCATATTTGTCATAAAAAAACTTATTTTTCTTGATAAAAATCGTTGACAAATTTGCTTTCAAACGATCAAAATTCATCATTGAATTAATACTCAGATAGATTTTCTTCTTAATTCTCTTTTCATCGAAGAATTTCTTTTCACCAAAAAGAGAAAAACACAATCCCTTTTGTCTTTTCACATGAAAAATTGAAAATCTTTCCAAAAAATTCTTCATTATAATGTAAAATCTTCAGCCATTCCAATGTTTCGCTTTAATTCATCACATTTTGCATCTTTACATGAAAGAAAGCAAAGATTATTAAAGAAAGATTTGTGTTTCTTTTCGAAATAAAATCAATTTCGACAGAATTTTTTCTATTGACAAATCAACTTTTCAAATTCATTTTCATCAAAACTTCATTTGTTTCCTTCCAGTTCTTCGTGTTGATTTCGTTCGAAATTGAAACAGAAACGAAAAATAGATCTTTTCAGTCACAATTTATTTAGTCTTTTCTCAGCTCAACAAGTTTTCCATTTTCACAATTTTTTGTTTTTGCTTTGAAAAAGAAAAAAAATTCTAGTTCAACATGTCTTTCGATCAATACAATTCGGCACTGTTGAGAGAACAACATCCACCTGTCACTAATATTGTCTTATTAGATAAAAGCGATGCTGTATGCTGATATCGTGCAACACTCATCTTTCCAGTTGTTGTCCAATTGCCTGTTGATGGATCATACAATTCAGCACTATTCAGATAACCACTACCAGTGTCTCCACCAGTGACTAAGACTTTTCCATTTGATAAAAGCGATGCTGTATGTCCATATCGTGCAACACTCATCGTTCCAGTTGTTGTCCAATTGCCTGTTGATGGATCATACAATTCAGCACTATTCAGATAACCACCACCAGTGACTAAGACTTTTCCATTTGATAATATCGATGCTGTATGTCCATATCGTGCAACACTCATCGTTCTAGTTGTTGTCCAATTGCCTGTTGATGGATCATACAATTCAGCACTATTCAGATAACCACCATTGTATCCACCAGTGATTAAAACTTTTCCATTTGATAAAATCGATGCTGTATGTCCATATCGTGCAACAGCCATATTTCCAGTTGATTTCCATTCTAAACAAAACAAACACAAATTCAAAATTTGATTTTTTTTCTTCCCAAAATCTTCTAAATGAGAATGAAATTACAAAAGCAACGTTTTCTTTCATACAAAACAAGACTTTTTCCTTTATTTTGACAAAATCCTTAGAAAACTTTCCTAATGAAACAGTTCCAGACAATTTACAATTCAAAATGATTTGTTTCTTGGATTTTTCCTTTCAACTTACGTCCTGCAATGATAATCAAATCAAATTTTTGAATCCGGTGATTTTGTTGATCAACGACAAAGATATTTCCAAATAAATCAAATTGAAGATTTGACGGAGAACTCAATTGATTTCGATTAGAACCCGCTGATTGATTACATCCGACCAAACAATGAAAACCATTGGAATTTTGTCCGATGATTCGATGATTATTGGAATCAACAACAAATACAAAACCTTCATTATCCAATGTGATTCCATTGGGACAATTCAGTTCAAATGTTCCATTCGAAAGAATTGTTTCACCTTGAAATGAACCAAAGCGGAATTTCTGTATTCGATTATTTCCACAATCAGCAACAAATAGAGTTGAATTATTCTCATCGAGAAATATTCCACGANGACGATTTCCAATATTTCATCGGTCAGCCATTCCTTCTGTTTTCGGTTATTGTCGTCCAATTTGAAGATGTTTTGGCCAATGTTGTTAATATGCGTTGCGAATTCCGAGTATCTCGCATTGATTGTCACGTTATTTGGGTCCGCTGTTGATGAACGATTCATGAGTTCGGCCTGGAAAGCTTCGATACAGGCACCATTTTTCAGCTTTTTTTTATCCAGACGACCACATCGTTGTTTTTGTCGTTTTCTGCGGCTTTTCAGGTGGAGTTTGAGCTTGGTCACGAGTAGGTGATGGTCCGTTCCTATCGTACCTGCAGCCGCCCTGTGCACGCGCACATCCTCAACGCTCGATCTGAACTTACGATTGACGAGAGTGTAGTCGAGTGTGTGCCATTTCTTGTGTCCAGGATGCATCCAGGTGGTTTGATGTATGGGTTTGTGCTGGAAGAATGTATTGGTAATGATGAGGTCGTTTGCTGCACAAAAGTCTACCAGTCGTTGCCCATTTTCATTGATGTGATCGGTTGTATGTGGGCCAACCACATTATTACTGGTGTAGTTCTGTTGCTTTCCAATTCTCGCGTTGAAGTCACCCATGATCAATAAGAGGTCTTTTGATGGGACCGTACTTAACGTTTGCTGTAGATCGGTATAGAATTTGTCTGATGCTGTAGCGGCGGTTTTGTTACCGTTAGGATTGACTGGAGAATATACGGCGATGATCGTGACATTTACCGCTGTTCCCTGTAGTCGCACCATGACGATTCGTTCGTTGACTGCTTTCCAAAAGGCACCGATGTTTTTCCACGCCATCGTTGCTTGTTTACCAAGACAGATGGCCACTCCATGTGCGGATCTTGTCCTGTTCTCGCTGGTAAGACCTGAATGAACCATTGTGTATTCACCCACTGTTGATACACCTGTGTCGTAGATGGCCGTTTCACTCAGAGCAGCCACTTGTATGCGGTGTCTTTGCAGTTGTTTGATAATGAGTTGTTTCTTCGCCATTCGAAAACACGATCGTACATTCCATCCACCGAAGAACGTTGTTTTACGTGCGTTGATGCACTGTTCTTGATCTTTTTCGTTAGCCAGTAAAGTTTTATGTCCCATTGATAGGGGGCTAGCCTGACAACAAGACGTTGTGGCTACCAGCAGCCCAGGGGCGCCTCCCAATGCTGCGTGCAGCTCCGGGACCCTGTAGATGTCAATGACATCCCTGGCAGGCGGTTTCAAAAAACAGAAATCTTTTTGATAAGACTTCAGAGTAATCGAAATTTGGTCCATCCAAACTTTGTCTTTTTTCGAATACGAAGAACAAGAATCGTAAAGAGAACCTTGCGAAAATTTTCATATCATTACACTATCTAAACTATGATACAATAGCATGAGGAGACAGAGCTTTTCTCTTCTATCAGATTGTGTATTTCGACAGGATTTCTTCAGTCTTACTTCATTTACAGTGGAAAAGTGTCGCTGTCACTACTGTCATAGTATACAATAAATGAGAAAAGAAAAAGGACAAAAACGACATTTCACATTCTGTCGATGAATTTGTTTAATTTATTGAGCAATTTTCAAATATTAACCAAAAAAGTGCTTGAAAAAAAACGAAACGAAGTACTATCATCGATAAAAGTCTATTTTATATTTAGACCATATTTTCTTCTCTTACCATTTAGTTTTTCTGTTTCTAAAATTAACTCTCCTTGTTGAAAAGAAATTGTTGATAAAGTAAAGCAAAGCGCTCATCAGTTTAATTTGTCAACTTCAGCTGCAACCGATCTGAGTTTAAAATGATAGAATAATACACGTTAGCCTTCATATGGTTCATCCTCATCTACCATATTTACAGTCGTTTGCAAAAAAACTTCGCCTGAAATTGAATTTCTGAGTCGTCGCTTCTTTTGGTCATCAGATTAGGAGCGATTAGACTACTGCTGTTGGCAAATATATTGTTTTGGTTTGAGATCAAAAAAGAATCAGTCAACACCTCTCTAATCACTCTTCTAGATATTTTTATTTCTGTCCACATTTTCTATGGAGACCTTAAATAAGATCCAGATGTACATATTCCGTTATTAGAATTTTAACAGGACTTTTGCTCTGTACCACAAAACACAGATTCCACTCTTTACTATCTAATAAAACTCAGAAAATATTCTACGAAACGAAATACTTCGAATATCGAGATGGAAAAGATCTTTCTTGTGGAGTCAGTGTTGTTCATCACTTCACTATTAGTCAATATATTCGAAAGAATAGTGGAAGAAAAGTTGTCTAAAAATCGTTAGATAGTCGTCTCTTCATCAAAAGGGTAATGGTAAACTTGTGTAAAAAATGGCTTTGGAGCAACAAGATTTGCAAGCGCCGACCTTTCTATCGAAAGTTTTTCGATTTTTGATATAAAAATTAAGTTTTGGCAGAAATTTTCATGTAAATTCGATCGAAAACGTAATTGAACAAATGATAACCAAACGATTCTAGACTTGTCCATCGGGAATTGTGAAACACGACCATTGAATAACACAACACCAAATTGCATGAGCAATTAACGGAAAATTTACAAATAAAAAGATCAAATATTGGAATTCGATAAGTTTTGGTTGTTCGAGAAATTTTTGTTGGATTTTACTGTTGATGTGATGATTTGATAAGTGGAAACTGTCGGAACTCATGAACTTCTCGGTGTGAAACGCAAAGCGAATTATTCTGTGAATATTAATTCGTGTCTTTTCAACCCTACAAAGTAGCTTCTTCACCTACTTAATTACAATAAATATTAGTATTTGCTCATTCACCAGATCCTTCTGATTGTTTATAGATATTCTATTCATTGGATCATCTGATCATTTTCGAGTACGTTGATCTGATCGGAATTTAGTGAATCCGATAAGAGAATATCAACGAAAAATAATACAAGTAATCGAAATATGCCGAAAATAACCGACTGAATCTGATCGCTGTGTTTCACTGGGTTTTGAATCCATCCGACAGAATTCGATTTATCCAGTTGACGACCTGAGATATTTGTCAACAAGTTAAATATTATTTATCAAATGGTATTTATTCAAATCTTTTAAAGAATAATACAGAAAAATATCAATACATATGGAAGAAATACACGTCACAACTGTCACATCTAATCATTTTTTCCACTCTATTGCATCACATTATGAATAGATACGCGATTCTCTCTAACGGATAACGTGTATCAGTGACAGAATGCAAAAGTGACTAAGTAACTCGTAGTTCTTTCTTTTCTAGTATGAGTGAAAGATAATCTATTCAATGTATTTCTAGCAAACATTTTATTTCGAAAACCAATTACAAAATATATTAATAAGAAATATTTGGAATCTATTGAGAAAAAACTCCGAATAACTTTCGACGTAATGCATCAACATAAACAAAATTATTTTGATCACGATCATAGACACGTACAACATATGATACAGTTCTAAAAAATCTATCATACGATGGCAACAATATTGAGAAAGAGTAAAAATTAAGATGAATGGAATCGATGCAGCTTCGATTAACCAACGAAGAAAATTCAAAGATGTTAACATGCAGTTGATATTGACCAATTGAAGGTATGTGTAGAGGAAAACGATACATACATAAATAAATATCTATTTAAATGACATATGTGTAACCAATTACTCTTTATCACAAGATTTATACGATCCAAATGAGAATAGAAGAATAATATCGCTATGGAAAAAAATATTAGTATAAAAGGGCCCAGAAAAAAAAATTCAATTGCACGTGTTATGATGAAATGGATGATCAGACAAATTTTCATATTAAAAACACAGAATATTTATTTAGATTCTACTTCAAATGATTGATTCGCTAATAAGAAAAATGTTTCATTGATCGATAACATTTTCTAAATAAAAAGAAAATAGTTGTCCCTAAAGATAATTCTATTTATATAAAATATGTATCATTTATTTGCATTTCTATTTATTATACTCGATATTCTCTATGGAAGAGAAATAATCGCATATAAAAACACGTTCGTCGTCTATTTCACATATTCAATGTTGCGTTAGAAATCAAACAGATAGAAAAAATAAAATAAATTGAATAAATGAATATGATTGGTGCTGCTATGTGGAAACATCAATCACATTCCTCAACTCAACTGTATCTTCTCGAATGTGGTTGACCTTCTTAGGTCGATTTGATTTTGACTTATATTTCTTTTTTTTGTCTGTTTTCGGTCTTTTAGTTTTATTTGACTCTCCTCATTAACTAATGGACTGAAGATACACGAAAAATGATTGATCGATGTGTTACTTGAATAAAATTCAATATTTAATCAAATTAAAGGTTGATTGTTTTCTTTCTTTAGATTTGTTCATTTTCTTTTTGTCTTTTTTCTTATGCTATTGATGATATTGCATTATCTTGTTTCAATTCTTATATTTAACCAACAATTCAATTGTTCATATAAGCACATGAAAACAAAATCAGTTTCAAATATAAAGAGAACAATTTTATCTCGGTAGATGCAATGAAAATATTAAGGATCTTTCTTGTCATAAATTAAATAATCTATTGAAATTAATTTTAGAATTACATGGATGATTGTTTAGATGAAAGTTCAACATCATATCAAACATTGACATCAACAACAGTAAGTGAGGTTTTTTTGATCAAATCTAATTTTCTTTTTTTAGTTTCATCAACAATAAATATTCTTTTAACAAAAATTTCTCAAATGAATTCATCTAATAAACCACAAATTGGATTCTTTTTTTAAAATTTGATCTTGAAAAGATTTTCATTGAATATTTCTTTATCAAAACAAATCTTTTACAATTGTACATTGCCAAAATTTAGACCGATGTGTCAAGTCAATACGAATTATATTACTACCATGAGAATTATTCGTCATTACATGAAATGATTCGTGTGGTTATTATAAAAGATATTCTGATAATCTTACTTGTTACACATATTTTAAATGTCACCGAAGTTTTTCACCAATATGTTTAGTTTGGACGAAGATTTGTGATGGAAAAGTTGATTGTCTCAATGAGAATACCGATGAAGAACATTGTTCGCAATTTGAATTCAACGAATGCCAACCGAATGAAAATGTATTTCTTATGAATTCGTTCGAGATGATGAACAATACTTTGATTATATTGACAGATCGGATAAAAAAATTCTACTTGTCAAAAGTCTATTGCAAATGTACACATCCGAACCTACATTTGGATCTGATGATTATAGATGTGAAAATGAATTTGTAACACAATCGTGTGTATTCGAACGGCATAGTTTAATATCTGAATTAATCTTTTCATCCAAAGATGAATCCTTATCAAATGAATGTTGGTCTGCTTTTCAATATTATTTAGGTTTGCTCGACCGAAAACATCCGGGAATGCAGAACGATGTTAGAAAATGTATATCTACAATAAAACAGACTGTCCAGATACTCTTTATGTTCCAAATATTCCAATGTTCTTCAGACATGTTTATACAGCTTACAGAAATAATCGAGCAGAATTTGTCAATGATTATATATTACCTTATTTAAGTTGAAACAGATCTTTTCATTTTGACTTGTCCAGTATTGTATTAAATGTGCCAATTCGAAACACAACATGTTTTAAAGTTCTCCGATTCACAAAAGAAATTTCAACATATTTTCCTGCTTGGTATTAACTCACTATTATTTGCCCTTCAGTGATATTTGTAATCAACTCGAAGAAATAAATCCAATAGAAAATTTTCCTACGAATTGATGTAATGAAACAAACATCTATCGATGCATGAATTCATCGAAATGTATTTCATTTCATCGTTTAATGAGCAGCATTCGCGATTGTTCTTATATCATGATGATGAAAATATTTATGAAGATACGAATGCCGAGTTGTTTGCACAATTGAAACATCGATATTACAAATGTCATTTCACTAATCGGTATGTTCCTTACACAGCAATTTAAAATGGTAAATGTGATTGTGGATATGTCGATGAATCGTTCTGTGAAGATGAAAATGAATACAAAACATTGGTTCAGATTCAGACGGCGATATATTTTCTGGCTATTTGTGATGATGTTCAAGAATTACGTGCGATAGAAATCGATGGACAAAACCATACAGATGAAACTGAATGTCAACAATGGAAATGTGATAATATTTATACACGTTGTGATGGAATTTGGAATTGTTTAGATGGACGAGATGAAATCGAATGTGATTCCTTACCAGTATTGTTTAACTGTTCTTCGGAATATCGAATATGTGTTACGCAGAAAACATTTGAATTTACTTGTTTATCAAAACATAAGCTGAATGATGGTAAAGTCGATTGTCTCGGTGGTACTGATGAACCAAAAGCCTGTGAAGTCGAAGTGAAGTATTTCATGCGAAGAGGATTTAACTGTATGATTAATGACACTCCGAATTGTCTCGAAACGTATGAATTATGTGATGAAAAGAAAGATTGTTCATTTGGCGATGATGAACAATTTTGTTTACAGAATCGATCAACACTACTGCGTGATGAGCTTTGTCGCCCGAAAGGTCAAGTGGTCAGTTCAAATATTGAAAAATTTATATGTAAAAATACAGTGAGACAGGAAAAACTGAGAATAAAACATTTCATCATCGAAGGATTCCATGAAACATCTACAAAGGAAGAAAATACCATTGAACTGTTCACCGAATACAAACCCATTAGTCTTCTTGACAGTCATCGTTATCTCCATGGTCTTGATTTACGTGTTTGGTTAAATAAATCAACAGATTCTTCTACAAGTACATGTCTTTGTCCACTAGGTTATTACGGTAATCAATGTCAATATCAAAATCAACGTTTAAGTTTATCAATAAGATTTCATGTTCGAACAGAATCATGGAAAATTCTATTTGCAATATTAGTTTTACTTATTGATGATACAAATCAACGAATTATTCATTCTTATGAACAATTTACTTATTTATCATTACGAGATTGTCAAATTAAATTTAATCTTCATTTATTTTATACGAATCGACCAAAAGATATGAATAGAAATTATTCAATACATATCGATATCTATGAGAAATCTTCTCTCACATATCGAGGAAGTTTTCTTTATCTTGTCAAATTTCTCTTCTTACCTGTTCATCGTTTAGCATTCTTTGTAGACATTCCACTGTTAAATTATCATAAAACATCCACATGTTCAACTCATCAATGTCAATATGCAAGTTCTCGTTACTGTAGAGAAGTGAAGCCTTATTTAATAATGTTCCTTTCACACATTGATAAAATTCTATAGAAATAATGAATATCAATGAAGGAAAAGATAAGTTTCAGAGATGATCTCTCACTTTTCTCCTTTGATTATCAGAAAACAGTTCAAATTACAAGTAGTGTCTTATCATTGATCAATAATCTAATAATACATTATATGAGATGTGAACAAACTTTAAATTAACATCTATATATTTAGAATTCAATGAACAAATTCCTTTTGTAGCTGCTAAGTATATGATGGAAGATCAATGAAGATAATCATAATTTTTCGAATCATTCTACTTTCATTCCTTATAATTACGACAAGAAAAAAAAAACATGAAAGAGAAATAAAATAATATCTTTGAAGGACTTTTCAAGAAATAACACATCAATTGTAAGTA